ATGATTGGTTACTGAATATATGACAATATGTATAATGATTTGATGTGTTTCTATGAAATACCATATGCGAAATAGTCTTCAAAAATAGTTTTAAAAAAGGATTACTGGTTTTTTATATATATTTATGTTAGATTTACACAAATCTTTGTTTTAATTAAACCAGGGGTGTCAAACTCCGTTCCTGGGGGGTTGGAGCCCTGTGTATCTTAGTTCTTCCCCTGTTCCACCATTCAGCTCAAGAGCTGTGTGCTAATTAGCACAAGGAGTTGAATCAGGTGTGTTAAACGAGGGGAAACCCGAAAATGTGCAGGGCTCTGACCCCCCAGGACTGGAGTTCGACACCCGTGAATTAAATGACGCAGGATGGCTTGTAGAGTGAGAACCTTTTCTCGGGCTATGAAGACACAACCTTTCACTGTCGTCGTGATAGTTTTCATTAGTAATTTCTTCTACTGTTATGTCTTTCGTTTGTCGTTGCCTTTAGTCTTACCATCCTTGTCAGAAACATCCCATAATTGGCCTGCTAGGGGAGAGTAGCTCCAGTTCACCTTTATATACCTTTTTTTCACTGTCAGACGCCGATGCAGTGCGAGGGCCCCAGTGTCCGGCTCACTGTCCCTCTCCTGGTTGTCGCCGGCAGCAGCAGGTGTGGCGCCTGGCAGGCTGCCGAACACAGCGGCATTATGGTAGAGCTGCACCGATGATCTCTCTAGCGATAAACAACTCTGCGGGAGCAGATTGAGCAATTTTGCCCATTTTTCAGCACTGGAGACATGGCTGTCAAGTGGCTGCTAAAGAACTGAGGGAGCTTGTGCAGCTCTGGCTGCCCTCACTGCAGTACCGCAGATCATCTCAGATCAAACCGACACATTTAGGGAATCATTCGACCTTTTTATGATCTGCTTGTTTGCTTCTGTCCACTTAAGGGCTCGTACTGTAAGTTTGTACGGCAATTAAGGAGTAGAATTAGTAGCCCAGGCACAGTGTGGTACAGTGAGGCACAGTGAGGCCCAGTGGTAAATTTACATGAGGAGAGGGCCCAGGGCGATTTGAGTTTTCAGCCCTCCCTGCTTTTTTCCCACAATGCTGTACAGTAGTTGTTGACCGGGAGGGGTGGGGGAGGCGGTTAAGATGCCCCTGGGGGCAGCCATTACTGTTGCACTATTCAGCAAAAATTTGCCTGAACTTCTTTCACTAATATATTTGCATAAAAGAAATAGATTAATCGAAGTAGGTGCAGTGTCAAATCTTTATGAGCCGAATGGTTATTTTCAGGCCAGCGTGCACGTGGTAAACATATTTTAAATGGATGCTGGGATCGGTGATAAAGGTTTTCATACACACATGTGGACCTGCACAATTAAGATTTAAAAAGTTTTTTAAACAGCAGAACCCGGACTCTCCTTTCCTTCAGACATGATTCCAGTTTAAGTCTCGGATGCACTCCCTTGAGTTTTATTAAAGCATAAACTCAAACGTCATTGGCTGACATTCACCCTAGGCTTACAAATAACATTTTTAAGTGGCAGGGACATCGTATGGGCGTACCCTGGCAGATTCAAGAGACACAGCACTTGACAGAGTCCGTTGATCACATAAAATTATATGTAACATTGGGTGGGGGGGCAAGGTGACATTGTGTCAGGGGGCCCAGAATTTCTAGGTACACCCCTGCCAAGTGGCAACCTGTACAATCTGAAAAATCCCAGAAAGGCAAGGTGACTCAGCGCAGCCTGTGCATGTTAAATGTGCCCAGCGTTCTGTCATGTCTCTTCATCTCTTCTTAGGAGGCCTTTATGATTCCAACATGAAATCTGCCTCTCAGCCAGAAACAGCAAGTCCTGCTTCCTTTAGGCCGGTGTTTCCCAAACTTTCTTCTGTTGCGGCACAGTATTTACTATGAAAAAAATCTCACAGCACACAAACATGACATTAATCATACACCAGTCACAAAATAACTGGTTTTGTCATTTATTGAGCATTGACCCATAGCTAGGAATGCCAGTATGCTAACAACAGACGACTATCGGCTATATTTGTTGTTACTTTTGAATGCAGTGAGGTGCATTCAGGGTGTGATTGACTGTGATGGACTGTGATTGACTGTGATTGACTGTGATTGAGGTGTACACAATTGCAATAGGCTTTCTGAGCATCGAGCATTAAAGATGGTATCAGATGGATGAAAGTGCAAGTTTTTTTTTTATTACGTATTTTGTCAGTTACTTCAGGTTAGAAATTATAACAACTTTAAATTATTATCATTAATGCAAAGAACGAAACGAAAAAAACGAAACATGGATTTTTCCAAACAGCACAGTGTTTGGGAAACAGGGGTTTAGACCGATCGCATGACATGAAATGACCAAGAGCATGACCAAGTGAGACGGGGAGATTGATGATGCCTTTCAAGTGAGGAGGGATCTCCAGCAGACTGTCATTGTTGTGGACTGTGGGACTCCATGTTCTCTGGCCTCTTGCAGTGTGCAGTGAGGAGTCACGGTGAGAAGGAAGTTTCCGGAGTCATTAGAGCTGAGGCGTGAAACTGGCTCAGCCTTTAGCTCCTCAGGCTGTGTCTGAATCCTACGGCTATTCTGGCTGCATTTCACTGACTGAATGTGAATCTCTCTATTATTGCTATTGTCATTTTCTGTCAAACTTCTTCTAAGTTTATTTCCTGAAATAAGAGGAGCTATAGCAGGGGTCTCCAACTCCGTTCCTGGAGAGTTACCGTCCAGTAGGTTTTCTATCATACCCGGCTTCTGATGAGCCACACCTGTTCTCAGGTAAATACCAGGAGCAGGTGTGGCTCATCAGAAGCCAAGTGGGACAGAAAACCTACTGGATAGTAGCTCTCCAGGACCGGAGTTGGAGAATCCTGAGCTATAGTATGCCAGTGACCGTTAAATGGAACTTCAGTAAATACTACAGTATGTGCATGACAGTGAGCAATAGGTTTTGTAGGTTTTATAGTACCTACAGTGGGTAAAAGTCATCGGGAATTTTCTAGAAACATTGCGTGTGCGAAGCCTTCAACGTTATGGAGGATCTCTCCCAGCCTCCCCATGGTCCCATTGTCCTGCGCTTCTGGGAGTTTTACTTACAGAAAAATGTTCTGAGGGCAGAAGGAAAAATGAGTAGTTCAGAGAGGTAATCAGTTTGTAGAGGAGGTGGGTCCAAGCAACTAGAGGAGGTGGGACCAAAACATCTGATTGGTTGGTCCCACATCCTCTAGTTGTTTGGACCCATCTCCTCTACAATCTGATGTGTTATCTCTCCGAACCAATCATTTTCCCTTCTGCCCTCAGAACATTTTTCTGTAAGTAAAACTCGCATGAGCTTGTCCAGCTCCCATCTGGTAGAAGGTACAGGAACATCCAAGCCAGTTCTGGCAGCTTTTCCCACAGCTTCTTCCCTGAGACAAGTAATACCCTGCGACCCATCTTACCCCCTACTCATCCCTAAGAACACTCAGCCCCCACCCCACCTCCCTTTAAGCAGTGTGGAAAGCCTCCCGTCACTGCAGGTGTACATTGCATTGTAGTCCCGGGGTAATGCTATTTCATGTCACTGAATACTTGTATGGTATGACAGTAAGGCCTTCTTGCCTTGACTTGTAGGTATCACTTTTCTGTATATAAGAACATGTGAGTTGAGCCATTTGTCTTCTGTGTGGCAACATGCATTTATTCCATGGAAAGGGGATGAAAACCCTTGTTCGGTGGTTAATTGTGTTTTAGATTGCTCCTGTCCAAGTCATTTACCTGACCATGGTGAGTCGTGTGATACTGCTGTGAAATTTCCTTGGTGGGGGTTGTAACGGCAGGTGCAGGTAGCATAAAGGGCGAGGTTGTCTCATCTAAAGATGCCCTTGAGAAAAGAATGCTGACGTGTGCGGTTTGTATACATGCATGTCACATGGGAGTTTTACTTACACAAAAATGTTCTAAGGGCAGAACTAAAAATGATTTGTTCAGAGAGATAACCAATCAGATTGTACAGGAGGTGGGACCAAGCAACTAGAGGAGGCAGGACCAACCAATCAGTTGTCTTGGCTCCACCTCCTCTAGTTGCTTGGATCCACCTCCTCTATATTCTGATTGGTCATCTCTCTGAACCAGTCTATTTTTGTTCTGCACTTAGAACATTTTTGTGTAAGTAAAACTCCCACTAGCATATGCATGTGATTCTCGGGGCAAACAGACATGGTACAGGAGTGTTTGGAGGACTAGTCTACTTCTTGCAAGGGCAGTTTTGTGGTATTCAGAGGTGGATCAAATTGTGGTGGAAAATGAATGTGAAATGTGTGCTGGAATGAAGCGCTGCCCAGAGAGATCCTGACTTTGTGAAATGATATCAAGCGTGCTGATAAGACTTTATCTGCACTACAGCCTCTGCAGCATGCTTGATCACACAGCTTATGGTGATCGTCTCCCCTGAGGCTTGAAGCAGACCAGAATCTCAAACCTCATTTAAAACTCACTCACTGAGGGTTCCACACCTGCCCCCATCAGAGCCCTCAATCTCATAACCAGATTACTCTGCCCGCCCTGTGCGCTATTCTAATAAAGTACAAATTTAATGCATACATTAATCTCTCTGTATGACTGTGAATCGCAATCTCAAAGTGTGATATGACTGTTTAACGGTCGAGCAAAAAAAATGGGGAACTGAAGGGGGAAGAGATAGAGAACAGCAGTAAGATATCATTTATACTTTTGCCAAAATATTACAGACTAAGAATCTGTTATGTCTAAAAATAAGAGCACCTTGTCTGAATGTCTGAGCAGAGGTCAGCATTCTGCCTTGACTCTTATCCCCTTTCGTAATAAGGAGAGAGCCAATTGACCAAGAGCAGACGGCAGGTTCAAAGAGAGAGCGATTCTGTGTCCAGCTTGTCAGGACGACCTCTGCAACCCCAACTGTCACTTTCTGTTCTTTCCCCCTCCCTCTCTCTCTCTCTCCCCCTTTCATCCACTCCACTGCATACCCCCCCCCAGAGGGATTCCTGGGAAGAAGTGTGGCACCATTATTTTCACGGCGGAGGAGCTGAGTAACTGCCGGGTGAGTGCCGAGACTGGCAGCTCTCCACTCTGCAAGGTCGTCCAGCACTGCCATGCGGAGAACGGAGGAGGGGGGGGCATGCCGTGTTGGTCAGGGCACACAGCATCTCACTGCAGGGACAGTTCTCTCACAGTGCTTGCTAAAATCCACACGGGGACCAAATCCCACTCCATACTGCCCATTCACCATTTGAGTAACAGTGATATTTATAGCTTATTAAATGCTGTAATTGTCTTTCAGGTGGTTCATTGCAACTATGGATATAATGCAAATCAAATAAATATGCATCTGTCTAAATTGCAACCACTTATTCAGGTCAGGGTAGCAGGGACTCCTACTCGTCTTAGGAAGCAAAGGGTGCAACGATGGAGTTTCCCAGTACAGGATACCAGTCTATGGCAGAGCTTATGTTTTGTGTAATATTTTATTATATTTTTAATGTTAACAAAAAATAATCTATGTGAGCCCCAGTAAAACTACAAATTAAACAAAAGTTTAATTTCAAGTTTAGAAAATAAACGTATCCTTCCCCATTGTAGCCTGCTTCTTGCATCGCTACAGCAAATACACTATGGCTAGTCTCTGCCAAATCCGCAATCCGTACAACGGGTCCCAGCGCTGTCGGTCTTACCATTGTCAGTGTCATGACGGTGACACAGCCAGACAGCAGACAAAGGCCAACTTACGGGCTGAGAAGGAGAAATTTAAAAAGAAACGCAGATGAAAGTCTGCTCTTCTCCGCGAATTCCTCCGGGGCTCACTTGCTGTTGAATTCTTTCTGTCGTTTGTACTCATCAAATGGATCAATCATACAGCACCTACTCACACTGACTTCTTTTACTGTACACTGAAAAGGTATTTGCCCCCTTGTCTGATTTTATGCATCTCTGCTGAATAAAACACTGTCCTCCATGACTGGTTATCCCATACAGGTTCATGAGGAGCCTTGGCTCTGTTCCAGGAAGCACAAGGCAGGGGAGTCACGCTGGAAGGAGCGACTCAAACACCATTTTTATAAAACGTAACTTGAGTGAACAAATAACACAAAATATCAATACTGGCATTTTAGAACATTTAGTAAAGCCCCCAGATGAAAAAATAATTGCCCAGTTATGCTGAAAAACTGACACCGCAATTGAACACCACACCTGGGATTATCGATCACTTTCTCACAGCACCATGGAGGAATTCTGGCTCGTTCTCCAGTACAGAAATTGTACACAGCATAGTTCCTTCATGCTTGATTCCCGGTAGTTCTTGCTGTGGAATTAAGTATTTGATTCTTATCAAAAATAATGGGCATCATATCAGCCGGATCATAAAGGTGCTTCTTGTTAGTGGGGGCTGATGTTTGCCCAGCTGCTCCCCTCTGTACTCTATTGCCCAGTTTCTTTCTGATGATGGAGTCATGAAATCTGGCCTCAGCTGAATGAGAGAGGCTTGCACATCCTTGATTGTTCTTCTGCAGTTCCTTGCGAGCACCTTTATGATTTCACACCTGCACCGTCCCTCCTGAGAGGGAGTATAACCGTCCCGCACTGTCTCCATTTGGCCTGACTCTAGTTCAGCAGCTTTCTAACCCGGCCCAGAATATTAGAGATCAGTATCTATTTTCTAGATGTCCTTAGGGATATAAGGATGGGGGTTTTCATCACATGAAAGTGCCTCTAAAATCTGGGGGTTAATAATTTTACTGATAGTAGAGGCCAAAGTGATCTGTTCTGTGTTCTGATTTATGTTGTATAAGCCTGACACTACTCAGGCATCATAGTTTACCAGGGTATTCAAAGAAAAATAAAGGTTTGTTTCATTTGATTGAAAGAACAATACCAATATGGCCGAAAATAAGATTTTACCAATATTTACATAAATAAAAAAGCAGAAAATCAGACCAAAGGAAAATACAACACAGTATACGTTATGTGGTGTATTACAGTATTAATACTGCAAAATACTCCATACTTTATGTGCTGTATTACAGTATTAACAGAGATGTTTGGCAGGACGTCCATCCATCTCCTCTAACTGCTTATGCTGTTCAGAGTGATTGTGTGCCTGCAGCCTATGGCATGAAACCCAGGGCATGTGTATGTGTGTGCATGGGGGTGGGGGGGGGGGCTTATACAGGATACTGTTGGATTACAGTGCGCACAGTCATACATCCTGGGCAGCTTTGGCCAGAGAGCCATTTGCTGAGCCATAGCGTGACTGAGCACTATAAAAATCTTCTCTATATTGTGTTGATTTGTTCTGTTCTGACCTTTATTCTGAATGCTGACTACCCTGTTATCTAAAGAAAGGAGATCTCTGAATGGCACAATGGGAGCAGAGTGGGAGAGTTAGGTGGGAAGCTGATATTCACCAGTTTACATTAGAGGAAGAGGAGCTCTGATGACTGCAAGTTCATATCCTATGGTCCTGTTTGACAGGAAGTTCAAGCAAGCATATAGAAGCTCATGAAAAGTCTCTGATGGAACCCAAAGGAGACAAACACTCACAGATACTGTACTACTACTGTACTACACTGACTATGATCTGATAAAAATCTGCACGTTAAGGCTTCCACCACAGGGTAACACAGAAACATAATGATCGCCATTACCTTTGGAGCTTAATTGACCAAATTACACAGCACAATGGCATCCTTCGCTATATGACGTGTCTCGTGAGACGATACCACTAAAACAACTTCATTTATCACTGGAAAAACCAGCTGTGTTTACTTAAGTTGGAGGGATGTGATGTAGTACATTTGTAATGAGGGAATACCCTCAACACCCTAGGCAAACTCAGCAGGCACGTGACATCATACAATTATAGCTGATACAGTACATCCCACTTGAAATCGTTCTGAGAAACCAGAGGGAATTATGGGCAGAGTTTCGGTTTTAAGCTCCTTGGAAGTTCTGTGGCATCACATTGTTCACCTCCCACTCACCCACCTCTTTCTCTCCAGAAGATGCAGGGAGAATCCACTTGGGCCCAGTCCCGCTTCACAGACGTCTCTCCCTCTCTCTCACCAATGATGCTCTTTTCAGGACATAGCCACCATGCAGCTGTGTGCCAACAAGCTGGATAAGAAGGACTTCTTCGGAAAGTCAGACCCGTTCCTGGTGTTCTACCGTAGCAACGAGGATGGAACGTGAGCACGGCACCCCCTCACTCCTCACCTTATATCCCTTTCCATGGAAAGCAATTTTATCCACGTCTTTATAGTTACACCCATCTGTGTATGCTAGGGTATTTTACCCAATGCTAGTCAATGATGTTGAATACAGGAGCTCCCCAGTGAATGATGGCCTGTGTTACAAGATTTTGACATTGCAATGGGTAAATGTTTTTCACTTTCAGTACATTATTCAATAAATTAGATGAGATATTCAACACTTCATCATAAAATAGGCTGCGTGTTAACAATTTTACCCAACTGTAGGCTAATATGTTTGTTAGGTTAGGTGTACTGTATTAAAATACTTTTTGCGCCTTACGCTATTTTCACCGCACGATAGGTACATCGGAACGTAGCCCTGTCGTGACCTGGGGGGGAGGCTGTACTTCTCAAACACAGCTAGGTGTGTGTTATGCGTTCTCCATTCCCAGGTTCACCATTTGCCACAAGACAGAGGTGATAAAGAACACACTGAACCCAGTATGGCAGTCCTTCACCATCCCTGTCCGGGCGCTCTGCAATGGTGACTATGACAGGTGAGTGAAAGCAGGACTCTGTTGATGGATCTGCTGAGGTCGACTAATGATACGTTTTATTTGTATAGCACTGGTCCCAGGGACTCGGAGGACCTTATGCAACTCGCATAAATATAGAGTGGAAGGCAGCAGTAGCAGCAGGAAAAACTACAGAATATAAACAGCATAACAAGTATAATAGTTACCAGTATAACAAGTCACGGTGCACAATAAGAGCACGATAATAAGGACTAAAAGTTAAACACAGTTGCACAGTTAGCATTAATAAAGCACATTGATCCATTAATGCTAATGAAATGTACTGAAATGCTGGCACCTCAAAATAGGAATTCAAGAGGGTTTCTTGGTCTGTTGCCATGCGTGTGAATATTTGTTGTTGCAGTTGATTATTGTTGAAGAATGACAAACAGTATTCTGCTGCCTGGACACCTCCCATAAACACGTTCTGGAGAAGCATTTTCACATTAGCTGTGGTTCCCAGCCAACTAGCTTCTGACTGATTTCGTTAACATGTCAGCCTTTGACCATTGTCTCTCGTTGATTCAGTAGAACTGACAATTTTTGCTCCCTTGGTCATTGAAACCGAGTTAAACTCTGGTCGTAATGGCCAAAGTCCCAATCAGAGCCAAGTAGTGTGATAAAAGAAGTGATGATATGAATGAAATGTCAGAAGGATAGACAGAAGTCTGGGGAACTATGTGAGTCATTTCCATTATGCACATTCATTATTAAGTCATTAGACTTCATTTGTGTAAACATGCCATATGCAAGTCAACCCCTAGTGAATCTTGATACTGATAATGGCAATGTATAACCTGAAATAATGGCTGCTTTCATTACACACATTCGCACGAAAAAAATAAAACATTGTTGAATCTCAGACCTTTGGCATAAACATGCAGTTACTTTCTGTTCAGTGTTTAGTCTAGTTTTGCTTCTGCCATCATTATGCAGGGCAGCAACAGCATCAGGAGCATTGCACAGATAATCGTGTTACCAAAAAACAGGATGAAGAACTGACCAGCCGTTTGTGGGCGACAGAGGAGCTGAATCCCGTGGTTATCAGAATAACACCAGCAGGCAACCACAGTGTCTTAGGGGCTGTTACTGGTGCTGCTGGGATTAACACAAAGGATTTGGATGTCGGATTAACCATCGTTCCCCACAAAGGGCACGATCCTTCTCTTGTTTCATTAGCTGGCATCTTCATTTCAGAAATCTGCTAAGGGCCTTTGGTGCTTCTGTGAAAATGTTCCAGTCCGTTCTGGTGTGTGCCCAACAAAAAAACAGAACAGTGAGAGCAACGCAATAATTGTGAAGTATTACAATGACAAAACATGACGAGCTGGTATTGTGTCCAAAGACTCAGAACTGGGTCAAGCTGAATGAGAGTACAGCGCAGCGACAGCAGCAGTGCAGGGTTCGCCGTAATGAGCTTTGGCAGATTGTGTGCAACCGAAAATGCCCAGTCTAGGTCTGTGTCAGGGATTTGCATTTCACTCGTCGTATAGCATGGCGCAGGTTTAATGTCAAACCTGCTTCCCTAGCAGACTGAGACCTCTAAGTCAGCTTGTCAAACCCACTTTCAGATTCTGAGATTTACATTTTACAACCAGTGCATTGTTTGCATGGAGCAAGTGGCATAAAATGATGCCTGACTGGGTGATGATTCACTTCCTTTCATTTGCTGTTTTGCTGCTGTCGATTAGCGCCATTGGATGCCACACAGGACGGTTCTTACAGCACATTGTTAAGGGTGCATCATTTTCTCCCGTTCCACCTCACAGCTAGTTTAAGAGAAGCTGTCACGTGAACCCTGGCTGTTACGGTAAGACACTGCTGGCATTACTGTGCCGCCTGTCACCCTCTCCTCCCTTCTCTGCTTTTGGGTGCTGGAATTTTGCACAGGAGAGTGATGCTGGATGCCATAGTATATCCTCGGTTAGTTCAGGATTTAAGGTGGACAGGATGTTCCCAAAAAATAAAAATAATTCTCTGCATTTCTCATTACAGAACTGTCAAGGTGGACGTGTACGACTGGGACAGAGATGGAAGGTACTCTGCTCCTTGTCATAAGCTTTCTCTATGTTTTCTCCCACCTCCTTTGCGCAGGTTTCATAGCAACCAGTCCTGATATTTGTCTTTGTGGATCTGCTGTTACTTAACAGTGAAGCGATATTAATTCACAGCCGTTTTTGCTCCTGCTCTCTGAGGAAAAGGTTCCATCAGGTTGGCAAAGGACTGGGGTGTTTCCATTGGTGGGGGTGAAAATGGCATTTTGGGAATTTAATACCAAGGTACACAATAAATAAATGCAATTGCTGTTTGGGCAAACTTTATAAGATCGTTTAACTCCACAGTGATCCAGTTAAAGGGGGAAATGAAATCAGGACAGCTATTTAAATGAAACAGCAAGAGCAACAGACAAGAAAGTAATGGTTAGACCTTTCCTTTGGAGAACTCAAAACAAAAAAGAAAGTTATTGATCCCAGCGGGAAATTCTTGTGCATACAGCAGCATGGAACAAACAGCACAGACAAACATACAAATATGCAAGACTGTAACCATTCTGCAGACGATTAAACATAGTGCTAACAAATTTAAAAGTCCACAGTAGACAAACAGAATATCCTGAAAGAATATTAATAAAAGAAATAAATATAAATACAAATAAATTTAAGATGGTAAAGAAATACATGGAAGTAAAGCCAAAAATAATTTTTTTAAATTAGCTCATTTTGTGACACTTATATGAATACAGAACAGCGTGAAACTAGGTAAAGATTATATTCACAGAAACATTCTTGCTGTTATCTTTTGTTATATGACTTCATAAGGGAAAACTGGCCTCATGACTAAGAGCCAGAAATAGGAAATGGGCCAAAAGGCAAAAAGAAATGGATTCCAAAGCCTATAGAAATTTCTGAAATGTTTGAAGGAGATACATAAATAACGACTGAACCTGCATATCTTGTTTTTTTTTTTTTTTTGCTGAAATGTTTTCAGTTTTATACAAAGCAGGGATTTGAAAGAGGAAGCGTCAGGCTGATGGGAGGGTTGATGTCTGCGGCAGAGTCGCACACAGTGGCTTCTCTCAGGAAAGATAGCGATGTGTCAGGAATGTGTGACAGTGACTGTAAGACGCACATCTGGCTCTCCTGTGTCCCGCAGCCATGACTTCATTGGCGAGTTTACCACCAGCTACAGGGAGCTGTCTCGCGGACAGAGCCAGTTCAACGTCTATGAGGTCGGCACTGCAGCGTCTGTGAGCTCGCGTTCCATTGGGCTCTACTGGGCTTTTTTAATCTACCTTGATTGCCCCCCCCCCACCATCTCCCCTTTCTTCTAGGTTCTAAATCCAAAAAAGAAAGGAAAAAAGAAAAAATACATAAATTCTGGAACTGTGAGTAAAGGTCCTTCAGTTCTGCTTTGTCGTGATGATGATTTGGCGAGTATATGATCATAAAATATCACCCTGTTTAATTCCTTACTTTTGGTAGGTTACTCTGCTGTCCTTCAAAGTGGAGTCAGAGTACACGTTTGTGGATTTCATCCGTGGCGGGTGAGAGGAATGTTAATTATGTTGTCGTTAATTAAGGGGTGCATGGCACAGAGTGCAGGCAGCTCCGTGCCAGATTCTCAGCTGCGAGCATGCTGAGCTTGCTCAAGAGTCACCATCTTCCTGTCTGTCATACTGGGTCCGTGTCCAATACCAGGCTAATAATCTTGATTTCTACCTGCTGTTGCTGCAGCCCTCTGTGGTGTGGGACTCCTCCCTATGTTTTAGCACCAGCACTCAAAATACTAAGCAGAATCAATGCGAAAAAAAGGCCTCAATTCTAACTCTATCCCTGACAGAAATGTGGAATTGAGGTACCAGGAGAAGTCCTCGGTCTCTCTTTTCCACAGTTTCTTCAGCCTCCTTGGTGCTGTCCATGGGAAGTTCAGGCTATCTTAGGTCTTTAAGCTTATTGATGTACTGGTATAAATAATGTCTCTCCCAACAGCACTCAGCTCAACTTTACAGTGGCCATTGACTTCACCGCATCCAATGGTAAGGGCCCCTAGAAAACACACACACACACACACACACACACATGTTTGTATCCAAATCTTTGTGGGGACTCCTCATTCCTCATTTCTATCTAAAAAACTCAATAACGACAACCATGATCCCTACCCACCCCTAACCTTAACCATAAGCAACCAAACAAAATACAAAACTTTTGGTATTTTTATTTTTTTTATTGCAGTCGCAGATTTTTATAAAATTATATTTCTCCTTGTGAGGACTGAAAAGTAATATACACATACACACACACACGGACACAGACAGACACAGACACACACAACAGCAACAACAACAACAACAATAATAATGATGACGACGATGATGATGATGATGCATGTTATCTCCACCAGGGAACCCCTCCCAGCCGACGTCCCTGCACTACATGAACCCATACCAGATGAACGCCTACGCCATGGCGCTCAAGGCTGTGGGGGAGATCATCCAGGACTATGACAGCGACAAGCTCTTCCCAGCTTATGGCTTTGGGGCCAAGTTGCCACCAGATGGAAAGATTTCCCACGCCTTTCCTCTGGTTAGTTCTCTCTTCACTGAAGGCGTTCTTGCTTGCCTCTCATAACACTGGCATTGCGCACGCCTTTCACTTTGTGACCTTGCCTAAACCTAGACCGTTTCGGTGCTCCATTCCATCCATAATCTTCTTCTAAGAGGCTATTTAAGCACGCTGTCTCTCGCAGGTTTATCTGTGAAAGGGAGATGGCGCACACCACACTGCAGATACAAATAAAGGACAATCGATGCAGCCAAACCCAGACTCACAGTATCCTTAAGCAACAAAGAGCAGCAGTTACTTAGACTCATTGACAAAGCAGAGAATTAAAAGAGCTTGCGGGTATGAATTCAGCTCCAGCCCACTCCCTCGAGCTTTCATATTCTTCCTGAGTTTACGTAGGTGTGCTCAACATACTCAAGTGTCCAATCGAGAGCCTTGATATTCAATGAGGCATCTACATCTACAATATAACAAAAGTTTGTCTTAGACAGTGCTTAATTGTGAGACAGCTGTCATTGTAATGCCTACTCCATTTCAGTCTTTCTGTATCATGCCTGTATCCATAGATCTCATGAGAGAAGGTGATATTTTCACCCTGTAGGCCCAGTAAAACCTGAACATTGCTTTGGAAGCATTGTCTTTCCTGCTGGGTGCAACTAAGCTAAATGAAAACACACTGTTAGATTTGACCTGGCATTCCCAACATGTATGCATAACATACTTGCTCTGATACTGTAGGCAGTGCCAGCAGTGCTAGTGGGTTTTATTGATTGACACATATAAACTAGGCCCAGGATCCAGTTTTGCGAACTGCACTGGATATTCTTCACTCCCATGTGTTTCTTCCTTCAGAGCCGATGAACTCTAGCTGCTGCTGACCACACAATGGCATTGCTCAGCCGTTGCTAGGGGATTAAAATTCGCTTGCAGGAGGATGAAATAATGTCAAGGCTGAGCACCTTCTCCTATATTTTTGCAAAGAAGAAAAACCTTATGCAAAAAAAATACCATCCCTGTGTTTTCGACGTTTTTGTGAAAGTGGCTTGGCTGCTGCTAAGGGATAAACAATTAACTAAACAGGATTTTTTTCCTGTAATTGTCACTCTCTCCTGCTATCCTTTGGTCAGCACTAATGTCCAAAAGCAACTGTATTAACATTTATTACAGTCTTGCAACTTTTCAATGCATGCATCCGGGAGACTCGTATGAATGGGGGTGACCCAGCAGTATAAGCATTGCACACTGGGAATGCATACTGCTTTCACCTGTGACACCATTTATGCAGCTCTTAAGTGGCACGACTTCCAGTCTCTAAGTACTGCAGGATCTCATTCTGGCTACTGCTGAGTCTGCAGGACTCATAGTTACTCGACTTTAACGGAATCGCTGCCATTCTGTCTTGCCATTTAATTTTCACTTTCTGTGACACCTGTCCCCGGTTTGCTAATCAGGGAATCGAGCTCTAGGCTGCTCTCAATTAGAGCCCAGTATTATTTAGGCAGGGTTCTCATTCCCTCGCCATCATCACTGCTCTTAAAACATAGGGCTTAGTTGCTTCCTGTTCACAGGTTTGGTTTAGGGGGCTTGGTGGTGTCCTGTCACCTGGGTTTTCTACGTGCGTAGTCCTGTTTCCTCTGTGCCTATCAGTAGCCAGTAGGTACTGGCCTGGTGGTTTGTGTAGCTTGGGGCTTATGGTCCTTCTTGACTGACATTTTGCCTTGGAGCTTCTGGTTAGCCAGTGTCTATGCTGAGGTGTCCATGATCCCAAGTAGCCAGCATTCCACGGCTGGGGTCCTGTCTTTGGGGGGGTTTGTGTGTCTTGCGTTCTGTGGTATTGCCCCTTTTAGGTTCTCTGTCCGGGTTCTCCAATCCCCCGCGTCTGAGTCTGCCTTCTGTTTCGCCTCATCCTGGAGCTGTCCTTCCAGTCAGCAGCCAAAGTCCTCCTGGTTCCCTGTTTCCAGCAGTGTTTGGACTGTTGATCTCAGGGACCAGAGGGTAGAAACCTGGCATGATGGATGGATGGCCCAGCTTGAGCTGTTGTCACAGAACTTGTTTATGAAGGATAATAAAGGGTTTTAACCAGTATTCTCTGAGTCACTGTCGTGACAGTTTAATTTTTGTAATATTGTTTGCTTTTATATTATGCATAAAATATTAAACAGCGAACAGTCCAGAGATGAGTGCTAACAAAGATTAATGAAGTGATTTCCCTAACAACTTTATTGGTACTTATTCCCTGAGTCTAATCAGGAGCTACAATCAATGAAGTGATGACATTTACTCCTGATGTGTGGAATTAACACAAACTGAATTAAACAAGCATTTGAATGCAGCCTTTTGTTTTGATTGCTATAGAACTCAGACCCGGAAAATCCGAACTGTGTGGGAATCGAGGGGGTGCTGGAGGCTTATTTCCAGAGCCTGCGGTCCGTGCAGCTTTATGGTCCAACCAACTTTGCTCCTGTCATCAACCAAGTGGCACGGTGAGACCTCCACTGTGCGCCTGCGCTATTTTTGTGTGTGCGGGTTTTTTTTTTCCTTCCCTTGTGGCTCTTGGTCCACATTCTGACAGAAACAAAGTCGCCACATTTAGGTACTGTGGATGCCATCTTTAATAACATTCTGCTTCTTCACCCTGACATCTTAGGGGAGATGGCATTCAGAGTTTCAAAGATGCACATGCTAATTCTGAACACACACATCTACAGTAAGTAGAAGCATGATAATGAAGCAAGCAAACACATAAAAAGCAAAAAAAAAAAAAAAAAAGTCCATTATTCCAATTATTCAGGGAAGACCCTTGGCTCAGAGCTTGATTCTTCACCTCCTTCCCTGTCAACTTTATTTCTCTCCGTACCTTTTTAATATTCAGCTTTTGGGTTTGCTGTAATAAAAATAATTGACCCGAATGGCCTCCATACATGCAGTAGAAAATAACACTCAAACATTTAATGAGGTATGTACCATGGAGGCTTGTTATAGATGCCTACAAATGTTTACCTTTTGGGTTATGATGAACAGACCGAGTATTTCTGTTACAGTGTTCACCTGACAGCTGGCCCCATTTCATACGCTCGCTGAAAGGCCGATGCATGGATTTATCCACTCTTGTTATGTGTTGCTGGTGTATCTATATGCCTACGGAGCTGGAGATTCTGGCACCATTAAGTTACCTCAGCTTTATTAGAGCATGTCACCTCTGTGACAATCGACAGTTACTGCTGCCGGAGGGCTGCGCCTGGCTGGTCTGCTCACAACGCTAACGGGAGCTAGCGAGATAAGCAGTACACTGCAATCAGGCGTTTGTGTATCACTGCACAGACTTCAGGGTGATTCAGCTGGCTTGTTTCTCCCACTGTCTGGCTCCATTCTCTGCTCTCACTGGTGTTTTGGCAACACGGATCACCTGCTGTGTGTGTGGTTCCTGGTTTCAGAACACCAATTATAATTAAATATCCAATTACACCTTAGCACTGAGCCTAATTCCTTAGCATATATAACGTTTGGTACTTCACTCCCAAGACTTTAAATGAACTCTATTCAAAATGACCACATTACAGTTTATAACTGTGTAATAGTACACATGGCTAAAGTTCCCCCAAGCAGAAGAAAGCATCCATGTGTATTAAAGTGCAGCCTGGGGGCTCAGAGTAGGTGTTCCCAAGCCTGTGATGTCCATGGACCAGTTTTCATTGTACAAAAAAATTCTTTCACTCATAAAACAGCAGGGCACGGTGCCGGCGGATTGACTGGCGATTTCATAAGTTTAACTGTTCACATTTTTTCAGATGCAAACGTGAGGGACATAAAAAGTTGAAAAACATGTAGGTTATTTTTGGAAATTAACCTACCCCTCCACACAACCCCCAGCACGGTGGGATACTGGGCATGGACTGGTACCAGCCTGTAGCCCGGGATTTGGGTATGCCTAGCACAGAACCCCAAATGTCATTTTACAAAGATGGTACAGTATCATGTGCCATAGAGCCTGACATCTGAAGTACTTATTTGCTTGCTACACTACCCCAGAAATAAACAGCAAATTTACTGGATATATAAACAATATCGATTACTACTAAATGAAACTGTAGCCAGTTATATAGGAATTTGAGATATTTGAGCCATATCATGTATGATCAAATCAGTTTGAGTACTGAATTTAAAAGATAAAAGACATTGACTGGTTCTTAAACTGATAAAAGCTATTTTAACGATATCCTTCTTTGTTGTAGAATAAGACTCCAAGGTCATATGTCTGTTACAAGACCCTTTGATAAGCACAGTGGATTTTGATTTGATGCAAATACCCTTTCTGGTTGACATGATGATGCATGGAATCTTTAAACATAGAAAGATGCAGACTGATGGTTAATTAGGGGAGGGGGGAATCTGCCTGGTCCAGTGTACTTACTGCACCACCGACTATGCTGGGAAATGAATGTATATCCTTTTTGGGCCTTGGACCTGCAGCCTTCACAAAGACCACTACACTGTATAGGGAGTCCCCGGGTTAAGACTTACGCCCGACTTACGGACAGCTTGTACTTATGAACGTACTACCATAACGCTTATTAGATTCAAAATTTGACTTAAATGCAATGATTTGTAATGATGAATGCACATACTACTTTATGATGCTCACGAAAACATTCGCGGTTTTAGCCATTCGTTGGCACAAGGTCCAGTACAGTATTGTAAGTATTTACTTTTATTAATACTGAATAATAATTAGTATCATGTGCTGTATTAGTATTTTTCTGACTTAAAGACAGACTTAGGCAACGGATCTCGTTCGTGACCTGGCGGCTTCCTGCACCTCCTTTTAGAGAACTATAGAAAATAAACACATGGGGGAAAAGGGTAACAAACAAACAAAATTGACACACACTACAGCGGGGGCATGGAGCACAATCCAACAGTGGAAGAGAGGGAATTCAGTATCCAGACAGGCAAACCCTCTGCACGGCCAGGCCATCATGTTTGCTCATTGTCTTCAAGCTGTAGACAAAAAATGGGTAATTTACAGCCCTGCGGATTGCAGAGACCACGAGCCAAGACGAGAATGCACGGCTCAAAGGACAGCCATAGTGCCTGGAATCACATCGAGTACACATCTGCCAAGTAAATTTCCATCGGCCAATGGTTTTAAAAGGCTGACCAGCAGGCATTTGCCGTTCAAATACGGCAAAGTGTTTTCTTATTTTGACGTGAATCAACCATTTGGTCATGGAAATATGTTATGAAATTGAGCATTAGCTGTAAAAATAGTTCAATAGGAGAACTTATGGAGGGTTTTACTGCAGTTTCACTCAAATCAGCCAGACTCACATAAGTTGCTACCAAAGACAGCAGAACCCCAGGAAGATGCCGATTGATAGGAGTGCTGATACTCAAATTACAATGTGAAAGAAAGATGGCTTCAGTAACAGAGAACAGAGAACACCTTATCGAGGTCCGATGAATATCAGCTCCAGAAAAGCAGCTGCCTCGGCAGCAGGGACTCAATCAATCAGGGGGACGGCTACAGAGCACAATAGGGTGCATCCCTGACAGGCCTTTATGCAGAGTGATGCAGAGCAGCCAGCTGTCCAACGACTGACTTCAGAACGCGAAGCACATCACAGGACTGTAACAGACGTCAGCTAGCCTGCAGAGAAGCCAAGGAGGACATTTAATGAAGCCCTGTGTGTTTTGCATGTCTACATGCGGGCAAGAGGCACAATCAAGTCTCATTTGCTTTGATAACTTGGAAATGTTCCAAAATATTGGATCCATATGGATAACAAAGCAAACAATTTTTGGGCAAATAAACATGTATATAAATTACATAATGCTCTGATGGCCCTACCATAACCATAATCATAACCATAAAACAACTGGTAACACTTTCTATGAATGCATTGTCTATAAGAATGTATGATCACAGCCATAACACACTAAAATGCATTCATAAAGCATCATAGACATGGCTATAAATGTTTATTAACATGACACATTATAGCCATGTGTATTATGGCATACATTTTGAATGCTTTATGAAGGTCTTATCTATAATGCACTATACATACCTTCATAATGCAATACAAAGCATCCTTAATGCTTATACTGACCATTGTAATGCATTATGAATGTCTCCCCCTAAATGGGTTTCAACAAGTTAAATTTAAGACTTTTTAAGATCTTTTTAAGACCATTATGATTGTAATTTAAGGCCTATTTCACATCCATATTGGCAAAAAAGTATGAAGGATGTGAAGGACGATCAGAGTCCCAGAATTCCTTGTAAAGTAAATTAATTTATTGACGTTCAAAATGAACATTCACCTTTTGTTTTTTTTTTTATGAGAGGGGACGCCACATTAGCCCACACACGACATCACCATACACTACCTGGGTGTGCTCCAATAAAATTTTTACCGGGCTACACATTTTGCAGTGAATCGTTAGGATGCATGAGAATCTGAAAGCATGAGTTTCACACCAAATGGGTGAGAGTTGGCAACCCTGCTGTACATAACCTGTAATAGGAAAAATTCATTAAAAAATACATAGCCTTTTGTGGGTACTCACTGGCTTACAGTCTGTACTCACTGCCTTACAGTCTGTACTCACTGGCTTACAGTCTGTACTCAGCTGGCATGCGATTTTCAACTTATAAACTGTTCTGTAATTTTTAAACTTTTTCAGACCGTGGTAAACTGCAGATAACAAACTGTTGATACCACTTTAAGGTTGACTAAATAACCCAATCAATTTTCAAGACCTGTTAAAATTGCATTTAAGACATTTTAAGGCTTAAAATTCAGATTATTGGATTTTAGACTTCTTAAGTACCCGTGGAAAAAGGCTTCTCTATCTTTGTTTCTATGTATGTGCGTTTCATCCATCGCTGCTTTTATTTTAGTGTTTTTTAATGTAATATTTTGGCTTAGCTTTTGGGGGGGACATTCCATGCACCAGAACCTGTGAATAATTTACAGTGGTGTAGTTCCAGTGGACCGCACACATGCTAACCACATGTTGTCTATTTCGGGTGCCCATTTGTATGTGCTCGCTGCTCCATTGCAGGTCGGCAGCTGAAGTTACGGACGGCTCTCAGTATTTTGTCTTGCTCATGATCACAGACGGGGTGATCTCCGACATGGTGCAGACCAAGGAAGCCGTGGTCAATGTGAGTATCGCCACCGTCACCTGCACGGGGTGACCTGAAATTTAAATGCGAAAAACGAGCTGCATCCTTGGAGTCATTTCTCATCCAGTTCCAAAGTATCCTTCAGTGCAGTCTTTGCTGTTTTGGTTGTGTGCCCCGTTCTCTCCGCAGGCTGCCAGCCTACCTATGTCTATCATCATTGTGGGGGTGGGACCAGCTGAATTTGATGGTGAGTAATTCCCCCAGAAGCAAAAGAAGTACTTTCATTTCTCATTGTGCTTCTTCAAATTCCCGTCATTGGCATGTGGACCTTTTTATATTACACTTACCTACTGCGAAGCGCTGAAGCTTAACGTCCAAGGCTGTTCTTTCAAACTCTGCACCACTCCGGCGCAGCACGACCCAGGCATCATCTGCTGGGAAATCTTGTACTTGATTAGGCATTATGGGACATTTTTCTGTGAAGAATTGTAGTGGTCGCTGGCAGGGGTGTTGCTAGACATAAAGCTCTACTGGGGCACGGCCCCCCCACCCCCCATTACCTGGACGTGTAACATTAAGCTGAACGTGAGATTTTAGTGGGGCACAGTACATAGATACTGGGGCATGTACCCCAGTAAGAGGTGTCTAGGGCACCCATGTTATATACTATATACTATACTGTATAGTATAGTATAAAGATATAAGGTTTCATTATCCTACTATAAACCAGGGGTGATGCTAGACATAAAGCTTGGCTTGACCATAGAGCTGAGAAGCCATAACTCAAGATTGCATGTATTTTTCTCTGGGTCCTGTGTGTGTGTGTGTGTGTGTGTGTGTGAGAGCGGGTTTACCTATCCTTATGGGGACACAATGTCCCCATAACGTGATAAATATCTGTTTTTTTCCCCTTATGGGGACCGGTATCCTGGTCCCCATAAGGGAAAACTCTATTTTATAAAAATCGGTGACTGCTATGAAAAAACTAAAAATGCAAAAACTCTTGTATTTTGTTAGGTTACTTATGGTTATTGTCACGGTCGGGCAGAAGTCGATCCTGGAAGCAGGGATATGGAGCCAGGAAGTAGGGCAAACGGGGTTTAATAAGGCAGAATCCACAAGACGGGGAAGAACGACGGGTAACATTAATGACAAGTCTGGGGAAGACTGACTCAGACGAGGACTAAATACAACAGACAAGCTACGGGTAATGAGCCACAGGTGAGAACAATCAGGGAGAAACAGGAGGTAATGAGGTGGGCGTGGCACACATTAGGAGCGGACGAAGCGGGGCGTGACAGTTATGGTTAGGGCAGGGTAGGGGTTAAGGTTGTCATAGTTAGCGTTAGCATTTTTCCCATTGAAATGAATGAGTGGTCCCCATAAGGATATGTTTACCCTACATGTGTGTGTGTGTGTGTGTGTGTGTGTGTGTGTGTGTTTCTTCTGCAAATCGCTGCCAATATGCAAAATGCTCTTTAATGACCTGCATAAGTGCTCTACAACCTTCTGTAGTAGTAGTAGTAGTTTTCTTTTGTTCTTCAATTACCATATCTGTCAGTTTTGTGTATGCTACATCAGCAATAACATAGATCCCTTGGCCGTACAAACATCACCACTCTGAAGGCATATGGGCACCTGTTTCATACATTCTGCGGATTCACTCTTTCTTCTTTTTAAGTTCCCATCGCTTACCTCCTCGTTCTTCATTTCGCAGTGTATTAGTCGACTTTCTCCAGTTTAATGTGTCACCATGGCCTTTGTCCCAGTGCTTCGAGTGGAGGAGACAGTGTGTAATAAAACAATGTGGAGTATATGAGACAGATATAGATATTTCTAGTTGAGGTCCCACCAGGTTGATCATATATATTCCTGAGTGTAGACATGCTGTGACCGATCACATTAAATGGCTGAAGACTGTGAAACACAAACATATATATGTGCTGGACAGGAGGAAGGGGAATTGTTGGTAAACTGTTCATAATCCTGCTAATGTAGTTTTTATATTCTTTTTTCTCCGAATAGTTGTTGCACAAATATCATTTTTGTTATATTCCTTGAATCTCTTTTCTGCTTATATGGCACTTTACCTTTTAATCTACAGTACATGGAAAAACCACATTGATCAAACTTCGCAGCTGTCATTTTCCCGTCCAACGCCCACATTGGCCATCTGAGCACCCATGGGCGTGTCAGTCTTAAAGTGAGGCAGAGTCAGGTATTTGCTAGCATGAGCCTATCACAGCTGTCATTTTCCGGTCCAACGCCCACATTGGCCATCTGAGCGCCTGTGGGCGTGTCAGTCTTAAAATGAGGCAGAGTCAGGTATTTGCTAGCATGAGCCTATCACAGCTGTCATTTTCCGGTCCAACGCCC